ACGTTCTGGCGGATAGGCGGATTAGGAAACCCTAAATTGTGTTTCATGTTGTGAACAAAGACTCTTTTGGTATCCGATGACAATCTCTCATCAATTATGCCAAGGGAACCAAACTTTTACTTACATTGGTACCATACGTGGCCGGATAAATTACGGAACGCAACACTAGCTGCTATAAGTACTCTCATTAAAGCTGCGAAACTTCTTGAGGTCTGCGATGACCTCCAGGTCATTTTTCGGGGTCATTTTTTATTTTTCCAATATGGCAGATGCCCGCCTCAATGTGTACCTACGCTGAAGAATGCCCGGTAATGCCAGTCCTCTTCACAACCAACACTACAGCCTTTTTTCAATATCATGAATTTGCCATTTTCATTTCTAGTCTCTTACCCAGCCCCATGGCTATTTACTTCCGAATATTTAGAGGTTAAAAAAAAGTACAGTAAAAGCTCGTTAAGACGAAATACGGTTAAGACGCAAATCCGCTTAAGACGAAATTTTTTCGGTCCCTTGATACTTCCATAATTGTCGATGTAAAAAAAATTCATTTTTCGTCTTAACGAGCTTTTACTGTAGTTAAGTCATAAAAGTTGTTAATGATCATGCTGCACGCAAAATTAAAGTGATGCCCGCGCACAGCAGGAGGATAGGTAACCTCAGAAGGTGATGGAGATCTTGCCTATGTCAGGAATTAGCGATTTGTGTACTGATTCATATGTAAAATTTCGCGAGAAACACGATGGTTTCACCGGTTTCCTCCGAGCCAAACTCCGAAACTGAAAAAAAATTCTTAAAGTTGATGCTGTAATGGAGGGAATGTCCCATCCCATCCTGAGAATCCGCCACTGTATCAAGTCAAACTCTCCACGCAAAGAGCAAATAATACATTGACAGGGCAGCCACTTTGTTTGGGGTTTCCAAAACTGAAAACATGGCAATCCTGCTGATTCATTTCGACGTTGTAAGTCAGCAACCGTCAACTGTCATACCTACTATACTTTTTAAACGGAAAACTACTCAACGGCAATTCTTTAAACTATCGTGATTTTTCATCTCTGTGCTAAAAAAGTTCTGCATAAACTTCAAGGAATGGTATCAGTTTGTTCTCCTTTAAAAAATAACATAAAGACGGAGATTTACAGACACCGCAAACGAGATACGTGATTGCGAACTTACGCGGTACGCCGTCGATTTGCTCCTTATCCTTGCATAGAAAGTTTGGCTAAATACGAAGGACTCATGGGAAAGCGGGGATATCTCCTTAAATACGGCCTTAACTGAAAGAGTTTTTTTAAAGTTTTGGGGTTTGTTTCAGAGAAAACCATACTGAAACCATCTTGTTTCACGCGAAGTTTATTTACAAAGGAATCAGTACTTGAATTGCCAACTCCTGATACGAACAAGAGCTTCTTTTCATGATCTCTTATAAGTCACAGCCAAAGTCAATAAAACCATCCAAATATATTAAAAATAGTCGGATAAACATTTGATGACTCTTAGCCTTTAAGTAAACTGTCGATTATTTGATTTAGTTGATTAACTTTGAATTGTTTAATTTGTTGAAATTGATTTTCCTACATTATAGCCAATATCATATTAAGAGAATGTGTTTTTTAGATGTATTTATACGTTTCAACCTTTTTTTTAATGTTAGTGTGTATCTAGGTCAATTCATAATGATACATTGCAACGTACGGGAACTTTCGGGCCAGCGTAAGCTTAGTGCGTGTGTGCGGCATGCGGCATGTCGCTTGGGCAGTGCAGAGGACGCGCGCGCGCGTTGCGCTGCGGCGCGTCCATTTTGCCCCAAGTGTCTTTCCTTGCGCGCGCCTTTCTCGGGTGTTTTGCGGCTTTTGTGTTGCAGATACGACCAAACGGACGAAATTTTCGCCCTCTAGTACCGTAACTCGGCGTTTTCCACTAAGAAACAGTGTTATTCTGTCTAAAAACCTCAAATTTCATCCTGTGTCACTTAAGTCGTTTGAGCACCGGGTAAAAATTGTTTTAAAATTTTTTCCTTGCACAGGGCTTCTAATCTATCCACACATCAACTTTTAAGACCAGGACCTCCTTCGATTTCGAAAATTTAAAAAATAAGAAACACCCTAACTGTGCTATACCTCTGGTGTGAAATAGTTGCTTCAAGCGCCGCGGTACACTGCGGCGCGGCGCGGCGGGCGGGCAGCCAGCGCTGAACGCGCATTGGCGCCTACAAACCTAACAGGGATACTTCACGCATTGCGCAATGCGTGAAGTATCCCTGTTAGGTTTGTAGGCGCCAGTGCGCCGCCGCTCCGCTTTGTGTTAGGCTCTAATATTTAATCTCGCAGAGTCAGCGTTTTTTGACTCATGACTTTGAAATGTTTGCACACTCTGTATGGATTATTCTCATTTTAATTGATGAAAAAAATGTGTAGTAAAGGAAAATATAATGTGCGTTTTGTAAATATTAAGGTGATTCCGTACAAACTTAAGGATTTACAAAGCACAAGACTTTCTACCCAATTTCTTATAGCCTTTTATAGACGATGGCGGAAACGCATCAGCCAGGCGATAAAGTGTAAAGCCCGGCGATAGGAACTATAGCCGGGCTATATAGGAACTATAAGTTTTGAAAGTGCTCGCATTTTATGAAAACTGTTTCAACCGTGTATGTTTTTGATTGGTAGTCCTAAGTCTAAAATGTATTATATTTGTAAAATTATAACTCCTGTATAAAAGAATTAATAAATAAAGTCTAGAAAACAGAAAATATACGGTGTACACAGGGTATGGAACGAATGACGGACTTGGAGAACAAGGCGCAAAAGTGCAGTTTTGGAAAAAATTGAGACTTTGATGATTTCAAGTAAAACTAGTCTAATTGCATATTCTATGAAAATTTGCTCACAAATTTCTATTTTTATGCAAGAATTCACTTTGAACTTTTTGTCCGCTATGATCATCCATGTAATTTCGAAACTTCAAACACGTGTACCTCGAAATGGCAGAACCTGCACTTATGCGCCTCGTCCTCCAAGCTCCTCAAATATCCAAAAAAATGCTCGAAAAAAACCCATGTTATTAAACTCTTCTCATCACGCACCTTTTCCGAACCCTAAAAATCCCTCGCCACCATTCCGCTACTCCGCGCTACAACGTGGCACCCGAGTCAGCCTGAAAACGGGGGAAAGGCGGGAAGGGGAGGGGGCGAAATCTCCGGGCGGAGAAAAGTTACGGAGAAGGATAAAGGAAGGATAAGGAAACTGGATTGAAGAGCTTTAACATCACTCTGTCTTGTGATTTGATTTTGAAAGGGTTACGAGAGCGAAAGACGCCGTCCCGCACCGGGGCGAGGGGAGGGAGAGTTGTCCACCCCTGCTCATCGCCCACACCCCTTTCGCCCCCGNGGGGGGGGGGGGGGGGGGGGTATTCTCCCCGCTCGGGCCCCCGCCATCGCGCAGGGTTGGAGATCCGCGCCACCGCTCTCTTCTCGCACTTCGTGGGGGAGGTTTCGCAAATTCACGGGTCGCGGTGGAGACAGAATTGTTTCTCGTCGATTGGTCGTTTCTGCGCGAGGAAATGTGGTTGAAATTTTAAGCGCTCGGCCGATAGGCAGCGCTTTTTGATTTCGACTTGCCTACTAGTATACTAGTGCTAATGCTTTTAAATGCCGCACCAACTCATCGATGTGTAGGCTTTTTGGGGGGTGGGGGTCCATTTTTAAAATAAATAAAGCTGTGAAAACTGTATTCTATGCTTTTAACGTAATGCGCAGGTAGTTTCGATCGTTTGTCTATAAGAAAATTTCTTAGCGGTAGAGTAATTCTTATCGACATTGATCGTTGAACTCAAATGAAGCCTAAAAAAACGCGCCTGATGAGCTCAACGGTGAGCTCATTTTCGAGAAACAAAAATACGCGTTTACGGTTTCCTTGGTGACCTTTGTTTGCTATCAGCTGATGTTTTATTTCCATTTCCCAGCCAAGTCGACGGAGTTTATACTTCCTTTCTTCACTAAATACATTGACTAACACCTGAGCGCTTTTCTAATACGACAGTATTAGAAATTTCCCGCTTGTTTTTTTTTAATATAGGAGCATCCTGGCCGCTGTAGAGCCAGTACGAGCCCCGCGGGCCGATTACTTAAATTGATAGATAAAGCTGTAGACAAAGGAGACATAGGGGGTGTGGAGCGATCCTATTGGTGGACGCTGGTGGTTGCAATAGACTAATGGTTCTTGGACAAGGTTCAATGGACAAATTCAATGGTTCTTGTCAATTCGGTGGTGCACCAGGCTTTCGCGTATCGATTTGTTATTATTTGTGCATTGCAATTTTCTCTCTGGTTTTCCTATGAAAATTATGAGATGCCTCGTTAGCGGGCCGATTATAGAGATCGACGGACAAAGCGATGGATAAAGGAGGCAAAGATAGAAAGTAGCGATCCTATTGGTTGAAGCGGGCGGTTTTTGTAGATTGAGGGGGATATGAATGCACTAATAATGGGGTCGTGAGTTGCCGTTAGTTAGTCCGTTACTTTCCACCTTTGTACATTGCAACCACCCGCTTCCACCAATAGGAATCGCTCCATTCCCCCCTTGTCTCCTTTGCCTATCACTTTGTCTATCAATTTCAATGATCAGTCCACATTCTAAGACACACACACATACAGTCAATTTTTAAAAAAGTTCATTCTTGAGAGGGAAACGCTTTGATTACTAGCTCACAATCGCATGTAAATATACAGAACCATACATTACTAAAACTCAGTGCCTGTGTATTTCTGATGCACATTTTTCGATGCAATCAGAGGAATTTTCAATTTGCTGCTTTATATTTTTTTCCCCATCATGATCGATTCTCCTATGACCACATACCTTTCCCATGAACTCATGTCAATATATTAAAATCAACATTAACAGATTACGGGGTTGATAACAATTGTCTAAGTGATCACATGTTTCCGTCTGAGAACTTTATCTGATCGAACTTCTAGCTCATGAGAGCCAGGTATAAATGATAAACTAATAGTGTAAATCGAGCAAAAATTCTGTCAATGTTGAGACTAGTTTCGTCCCTTTAGTGCGATCTCCTCTTATTACGTTTATCTCGCAGCTATGTAGTATCGTGACGTGTTCTTGTGTATCCACACTAAATGCGTCAAGAATTCAGGTGTTTGTGTAGCTTATATTAACGGGGAAAATGAGTTATTCAATCACTGGACTTCATCACAAATAGATGATGAAATGCGAAGAGGATAAACGAGAGAAATTCTCTTGTGAGAAGAAATAATCAGTTTGAAATGGACTTCATTTTGCGATTAGGAACTACAATATTTCTGACTCATAGATAAAAACACCTATCTGCATAGGAAAACTAACGACACGGATGTTATTTCTTAAATGAGCTTGAAATTGTAATTCCTCATTTCTAAATGTGGCCCAGATGCTCCACTAGACAGAGTAGGAAACTAAACATCACGATACACATTTTTTAATTCGAACTTCCCGTTTTTCACAAAAACTGAAGTCCAGTTGAGTCAAATCGAGAACTAAACTAATTTAAGGATGTTGCAATGAAATTATTTTCTTAAACCGATGGTTTTATTTTATTTTATTTAATTTTTTTTTGTGAAAAATTGAGAAGTAGGTACTGTGAATCAAAGTGAAGAGGGGAGGGGGGATCAGTGGGGCCGAACTATATCAACTTGCCTAGGATGCGCTGAGGTATCAGTCTTCATTTTTTCAGATTAAAATTACTCAATAGCTTTCTGCTCGCTAAAAAAAATGGAATCCAAAATAAACCTGAAACATCGAAGCGGTCATCGAAAGTAACCTTACCGCTTGGGAAGTATTTAAAGGTAAGATAAGCGAAAGTTTCACAAAAATCTCGAGTCAAACTATGCCGATGCACCGTGGCTTAAAAGACTTAAAACTTGTCGGGAAAAATTTAGCACACTGAGGAAAATTTCATTGTAAAATCTCAAAACTTCAATGAGCCCAGTTTCTAGTTTGGCTGAAGGGGATTATAGTTTTTTATCGGGCGAGAAGTTTGCATTTACCAACAAAATGTTTGCTGATTTCTCATTATATGATATAGCGCAGCATGCGTAAAATTTCGGTTGAAATACGAGTGTTTTTGATTATGCATGACGGCTCCTAACCTTGCTCAGTGGTCGATTTTCTTGGTTGTGGCATCAGCGTTCAACATTAGATGCAACTATTACTACTTGACGGGTGCCCATGTTGCCTAGGCGAAAAATTGAAGGAGAATTCGTTTCCTCTACATTCGAAGGGGGTACAAGAGCACGACACTGTATATACGAACTGTATACTGTATATACTGAGTCAACTGAAAATCTGTTGTGCTCTCCTAAAGGCTATTGCAAATCACAGAAATCTAAATTTGACGTTCTACGTTCTATTTGAATATGTAAGTAAATAATTACTAGAAAAAGTAAACATTTGCAACATTGGATAATTTTGCGTCTAGTTTAAATTTTACGATTTTCATGAAGTTTGTAATTATTTTGTCGCAAATTCAGTGCCAAATTAAACTCACAACGATGCCACGCTCCACTGCCGTGCGGAAAGAAAAGCCTGTGCGCCTTCATTTCCGTGTATAGGCAATCTAGACAACTGCGGAGCACGAATAGTTGCATCCAGGTGTTAGGTTGAATATCTTATATTCGCTTGAAGGCGCCCAGTTCTATTTTCATCGTTGATATATAATATGATGTATTCATCCGATTAGTAAAAAATTGCAAATAAATCTAATCTTACGTAACGCCGGTTGTTCGGTTGGAGACCTAACCAGAAAGACCTTGCGGTTATTATCTCTAAAAGAAATCATTATAAATACATTACAAAATTGATGTTAAGGACAGGAGATTGATTAATTTAGCAGTATTTAGGTTCATCATTTCAAAGAGGTTGAGAAGAGGGTATCATTTTGCGATTGAGAATGTTTTAAATCCACAGTTATAATTGCTTTTTACTTATAATTGTATTATGGACAAAACGAGACTTAAACTACAAATTTAACCGTCCAAACTGCAGTAGCGACACAGGAAAACCGAAAAACCAAGCGGGGACGCTACTTCAATATTGAGCTGCCATCGCCTTGCTGAGGCGCAAGGATACAACTATTTGAACACTCCAGAACGCGTGAGGTTTCACGCCAGAATTGAAGGCGTTTTCGAATCTTCTGTATTTACATGACAAAATTTTCCAAATTGTTTTGCATTATATGGTTGATTTGAGTTCCTTTTTTTATTATTTAAATTTCTTCTGCATTTTCATTTTTAACAATTCTGCGAAAATTATCCATTTGCGTAATACAATCCTGGTTTTAGCGCCCTTAAACTACAGCCTTAACGGTCGAAACTGCAGTAGCGACACAGGAAAACCGAAAAACCAAGCGGGGACGCTACTTCAATATTGAGCTGCCATCGCCTTGCTAAGGCGCAGGGATACAACTATTTGAACTCTTCAGAACGCGTGAGGTATCACGCCTCAATTGAAGGCGTTTTCTAGTTTACGATCTTTACACATCTGCGCAAGAATATAGTCACAGAAGATTACAGGCTTTATTTTTCGGTGCCTCTAGGAGGACAAAACGAGACTCAAACTACAAAATTAACCGTCCAAACTGCAGTAGCGACACAGGAAAACCGAAAAACCAAGCGGGGACGCTACTTCAATATTGAGCTGCCATCGCCCAAACTGTGGTTGTAATACGGGATGCAACTATTCGGCCACGGCAGTAACCCTTGGTGGTATCAACCGATATTTAAGGCGTTTTTAGAGTA